CCCCAAAACCCCAAAACCCCAAAACCCCAAAACCCCAAAACCCCAAAACCCCGAACTTCTTCAAATTTATTGAAATAAATATGAAAGATATTATCTTCGTATCAATAGGAGGAGCTGGATGCAACATCAACTCACAACTTTGGAATGACCTGCATCAAGAACTTGTGTACTTTCAAGAGAATCCGGCAGAGCAGGATAAGTACTCTTTCAATTCTAATATAATGTTCAACGAAACATCGAGTGGCCAATGGCAACCAAGGACAATTTTTATAGATCCAGACCCTATTGCCATCGATGATGCTAAAGAGTCTCTGGCTAGCTTATCCATGAGCGAGGACAGTTACTGGACTGACTCAGAGGACTGAAGCACTTTATATACTAAAGGCCAATACACTTTGGCTAACAGAGTGGAAGATGATATTCTAGCTATTTTTGATAAAAATGTTGAGAAATGTGATACAAAGCCAGAACTATTCTTCATCAATTCTTTATCTGGAGGTACTGGAGGAGGACTAACTCATCGGATTATGAACAGAGTCTTTACTGAGAAAATAGATGCTATATGATATAATGTGCTAATGTCTTTTGAAAATTTGCCTCATCTAGCAGAAGCATACAACACAGTCTTTGGAATGGCGAATTGACTTGAAAATGATGCCTTGTCTATAAATGTACAGAATGATAAATGATTTAGCGTTCTAAATTTGACGGGCAATCTTGATCCAACATATTCTGATTTAAATCAACTCCTGAGTTCTAATATTTCAATGATTACTGCTAAAATGAGATTTCATCAACTTGGCTGTGACTCGATAGGTAAGCTCTGAGGTCATCTTATTCCTTACCCTCGACAGAGTTTCACTATTCCTTCTATCGCTCCAATTTGATGTGAAATTAAGCCAGATAAAGACTTTGCAAGTCCTCATGAAATCATGGAAGCTAGCTTTAGCCAGGAGACTAAGTTGGCCAATTATGACCTATCCTCCATAACAGAAACAGCATCAGCCACATTTTTCGGAGATGTGCATTCTCAAGAAGCCAAAGATGCTTGTGAGAGCGTGATGAAGGCTCATCCAAAGAAGTTTACCAAGCATAATAAAAACCCTATCAGATTTAATATAGTCCAAACTCCTGAGATTCAGTTCAAGGACAAGCTTACTACCCAGCTATATAGAGTAAGTACCTTCTGGTCCCAAAAGAAACTGTTTGCTTCAAAACAATGTAAATCTTGAACTGCTAAAGCTTAACAGATACTCAGGAGCTTTTCTACAAAAGTCTGATTAGCTGGCCTCTCTTCAAAATTTCAGCCTAATTTCCTTCTGGGCTCTAAACACTGACTTCTAAACTATAAAAATCTTATTCAATGTGTTCATATTATCAGGATTCTAAAACTGTAGCATTTCACATTTGTGGGTTTAAACTGCTAAATAAAAATATTCCAAAAATCCCACAATTCTTGAATATATCACCAATGGCATACAATAGGGGAAGTATTGCTCCACAATCGATAACACAACGGGGATCGGCTACTTGCTAAGTAAGCTGAATCATGAATTCGACTTATTATTCTCCAAAAGAGCTTATGTGTATAGCTATGTAGGAGAGGGCCAAGCAGAAGGAGAGTTCATAGAGCACAGAGAAAATTTAGCGGCCCTAGAGAAAGATTATGAGTTCTACCTCCCTCCTTACTACGAAGGAGAAGGAGAGGATGATGAAGAATAAAGGTTTATTTCAATAAAATAAATTTACCTTGGGGTTTTGGGGTTTTGGGGTTTTGGGGTTTTGGGG